TAGGGTATATTTTATTACAAATTTTGGTGTGCATTTCAGCTTTCTTCTGCGGAAATAATGTTTCAGGAACACGCTTGCCGCAGTGAAGGAATGGAACTAGCACGAGAATTGGATTACAATGCTGCTGCTGCTTGGGTGGGACATCCGTACTTTGATTTGATTGATAACTCGACTGATTTTGAGACTAAGATCTGCAGGATGATTTCAGTGAGTGGCATGTTATAACCATGGGCAAACTACTTGGTGCATGAGTGACCATTACGGGCAGCTCGTAGTAGTAGTCTTGGCAGTGTCGTGTTGAAAACATTTATCTCAAGTTACAGTCCTGCATAACAGCTCAAGTCATGCAGTCAAGTCCGTAGTCAAATGAATTTCAATTACTGTCAGATTCCTAGAATTGTTACATCACCCGCATACCAAGCTCTTTGCCAATTACAGTAGCGGCATATAAAAGTGTGAGTTGATCTGTCTCATAGCTCCGAGTCATAGTAAAATACAAAATATATAAATGTAATGTAATGCATTTTACAATTTTTTTAGAACACGGAAAATATTCATTGAATTCCTTACAAAAGGAAGATGTTTAGTGTGACAAGTACCTAACAGATGGAATATGTCCAAAATGGGGTTTAAGTGTTCTAAGACGAATGTTTCCCATGAGACAGTGTAGTTCAAGATGGCACCAGTTCAGATGTTATAGTTACATAGTTCATAAACACGATTGTCTGATCTGATGAGTGTGGCGTCAGATTCACCAACAGTATTTTTATGATGATAATTGAGTCAAAATTTATGCGTGAACAGTTTATGGACATTTTCATTTTTTAAAATAATTGTTCCAGCTCAGGCTTTTATTTACTTTCATTTTAAAAAGTATGAACTTGAAGAAGAGGAGCCGAGATAGCTCAGTCACTGTAGTGACTAGTTACGGGCTGGATAACTGGGGTTCGTTCCCCAACAGGGGCAGAGGATTTTTCCTCTAACATCTGAATCCAGACTGGCTCTAGGTTCTACCCAGCCTCCTATCCAGTGGGTACCAGGATCGCAGCCTGGGCGTGATTCTAACCACTCACCCCCATCTAGTGCCGAGGCCACGAAAGAATAGGAGCTATACCTCCACTCCCCCCAAATGACCTACGTGGTGTGTAGCGGGACTGCTTTACTTTACTCTACTTTTGAACTCGACGGAGCAGTCAGTGTACCAGTTGTGTACTTTTTTGTAACTGTCATTGCTTTCTCCTCGTTAATACAGTTTCTTTCTGATATTCTAGTTCTTCGTTTTCAGAAGTACCTTTCCTGCTTGTTCATATGGTTTTATAACTTTGCGGTTCTTGGTAGGAAACTACTGTGCTTCAGTAAGTTATAAGCTAGCTATCTATAGAATGATAATGTTGCTTTCAGAGTGTGTGCTTGAAACTTTGTATAGACACTGGCGACCGCCTGTTAACAAATTCACGGAAACTCAAGTTTCTGGTACGAGGACCCTTGCCACGAGATTCGGTCTTCCCACCATTCCAAGACTTTGATGTGGTACATAATTACTTACAGACCAATACCCCAAAAATGCAAGCAAGGCTGAGGAAACGAGGTCAAAAGGGTGAGTGAAAGTATTTTTTTACAAATACGTTTGTAATTACTGTAGTGGTTACCATCACAATTGTGACCACAAAACTGGAAAAGATTTCACAATCAGGAAATGAGCCTGTAGTTAACAAAAAAATAGAATATCTGTCATTTAAGTGCAAGATAATGTAAGTTAAAACGTCATTCACAGAGACACAATGAGAAATCTGCCGTTCCGTCATTAGACAAATGTGTTTACTGAATCCTAGGGTTTAACATATTATTAATTGAAAATCACTGACTTGAACTATTTTTGTATTCAGGTCATTGGAGTTATATTCATACTATTCGCAAGCCAAAGATTCGAAACCAAGTGGTGGAAGTGAGAACTCAACTCACACATCGAGACTACATGAATTTACTTGCACAGAGAGATGATTCACATTTCACAATCTTCAAGAAAAGGCGATGCTTCCTTTTTAACAATCAGTACTTTCAGTTGGACATTTATAAAGAACCTTGTCATCCTAGGTATGAAGTTAACTATCTCGTAGATTTTTCTGTTCTAATTTGATTTGAAAAAATTAGTAATTCTTTATCATGTAATTTCTGTCTGTTCAATTTACTGAAAGTGTCTTAAAACAGACTGTGTCTGCTTCCTTGTCTAATGTTCTAATTCATAATTTATGATCTTCCTACCACCCAATACCATATTCTTCTTCTTCTTCCATGGCTCTCCGGTCTGTATTCGGTCCATGGCCTCCTCAATTCTCTTCCATTCGGTCCTCCGTTAGGTCCATCTGTCTGAGGCTTTGATTGAGGTTTCGAAACATCTTCCTTTTTACGGTGCAAGGTTGTTAGCCTTGCGACCAACCCCCAACCTGGAGGACCAGGGTACCTGTCTTAAGTTGCTTGTGTGTAGTAATAATTGTACCAATGTGTGTAATATCCTATCATAGACGTTAAATTTTCTTGCTGTTGAGTGTATTTTGTTTACAGAAGTTCCTACACATATTGAAATTCAGTGTTTTGTCATCTTTTCTGTACACTGTTTAGTACTCCTTTGTAATAAATTTAAAAGTTATTTCCTAGGTGTAAGGGACTGATTCTTCTGGAGACGTATACCACCTCAGAAGATTGCAATGTTCAGAAAAGCTTGCCACAGTTTCTTACTATTGTTGAAGAAGTGACTGGCAATCCACTGTACTCCATGTTCAACCTTTCTTTGCGTGAAGAATGGACCACTACGAAAAAGTTCTGTCATGCATTACAAGGTTAGCTATGTTTCCGTTTCATTGAGTAGAAATCATTGAGTTAACGTATGGGAAAATAGATTCCATCCTGAACAGAACATGTAACAGATGGTAATGAAAAACAATATACTGAAGTGAAAAAGCGAGGTAGGGTACAAAAGTTTTAAAGGTTGATATTCTCATTACCATGTCTCTCTTCTTCTTCTTCTTCTTCTATGGCTCTCCAGTCTGTATTCGGTCCATGGCCTCCTCAATTCTCCTCTTCCATTTGGTCCTCTGTTAGGTCCGTCTGTCCGAGGCTTTTATCGAGGTTTCGAAACATGTTCCTTTTTACGGTGCAAGGTTGTTAGCCTTGCGACCAACCCCCAACCTGGAGGACCAGGGTACCTGTCTTAAGTTGCTTGTGTGTAGTAATAATTGTACCAATGTGTGTAATATCCTATCATAGACGTTAAATTTTCTTGCTGTTGAGTGTATTTTGTTTACAGAAGTTCCTACACATATTGAAATTCAGTGTTTTGTCATCTTTTCTGTACACTGTTTAGTACTCCTTTGTAATAAATTTAAAAGTTATTTCCTAGGTGTAAGGGACTGATTCTTCTGGAGACGTATACCACCTCAGAAGATTGCAATGTTCAGAAAAGCTTGCCACAGTTTCTTACTATTGTTGAAGAAGTGACTGGCAATCCACTGTACTCCATGTTCAACCTTTCTTTGCGTGAAGAATGGACCACTACGAAAAAGTTCTGTCATGCATTACAAGGTTAGCTATGTTTCCGTTTCATTGAGTAGAAATCATTGAGTTAACGTATGGGAAAATAGATTCCATCCTGAACAGAACATGTAACAGATGGTAATGAAAAACAATATACTGAAGTGAAAAAGCGAGGTAGGGTACAAAAGTTTTAAAGGTTGATATTCTCATTACCATGTCTCTCTTCTTCTTCTTCTTCTTCTATGGCTCTCCAGTCTGTATTCGGTCCATGGCCTCCTCAATTCTCCTCTTCCATTTGGTCCTCTGTTAGGTCCGTCTGTCCGAGGCTTTTATCGAGGTTTCGAAACATGTTCCTTTTTACGGTGCAAGGTTGTTAGCCTTGCGACCAACCCCTAACCTGGAGGACCAGAGTACCTGTCTTAGTCCAACCTCTCCCCCTCGACCAATCTGGCTAGGGAGGCCCTACCGGTAGCTCTTGGGGTCATTGAGGTACTCAAGCCCCACCACCACGACAAGGTCCAGGGACCATTAAGTGGGGTTAATATGATTCATATTAAGTAAATTCTCTATCTAAGAAAACACCGTAGACAGAACGACAGTGATGTCAGATTTGATATTTTCATGGCTGCCAAATACAGTGATGTTCCATTGCCCATTCTTGCACAGAGGGAATGGATAATAAAGCATACTGCATGCTGCAAGTTTTAATGTGTAAGGATTTAATTGCAGGTCCTGATGAAGAAGCATCTGTTGCTGTTAAAACAAATGGAGTCAAAGGAGGACTTGTGACTAATGGTATTTAAATTACTTCAGCTCAGGATGAGTGCATGTAAGGTATGAATTCCTTGTTGGATTGAAGTGTGAAATCTTTAATTCCTTGTTCTTTAATTTATTTAGCAGTAGTTGGTAGTGTGCTTCTTGTGTTTGGGAAGCTGTTGTATAAATATGTATTCTTTTGGTATTGCAAAATTTGAGTTGAGAGACAAAACTGTTTAGTCTGTACTGGGCATAAAACATTTAGATGACTTTCACTTTTTATAGTTGATGCAATATCTCACTGTCTTACAAGTTATTTTGTACTCCAGCTCGACATTGACTCAGTATTGTTCCTTCATTTTTTCTGTTCCTTCATTTTATAACCAACATTTTATTTATTACGGTAATTCCATACTTAACAGCAAAACTGAATTATGGGACTTGTTTAAAATTGATTTCTAACTCATTATTCTATGTCAGTTTGCGGTTTCTTGCGTGTACTTCAGTTTGTAGCAGGATATAATTGTGTGAAAAGGGAAGTAATAGAAATTGCGCCGTTTTATAAAATTCAATGGGCAATATCGATATACCAATCAATTTGTGTGTTGTGTTGTTTTCATATGACTGGATTTTGTCAGTTACAGCGGAACTTGAATACTGCTGTAGTATGAGTTCATAAGTTTGTTTACCTGCGTATAAAAATCCAGACACAAGATGTATTGAATGCTTTTAGTCGGAGATATTCCCAAAGTTTTGTGTTTCAATTGCCAGTAAAAAATAAAAATGTCATATTCCGGCTGCAACTTTATCTGATGTTCAAATAGAAGTAAAGAAACAGGAAAAGTAATTTATAATAATAATATGGTGTTCTGCAGGTTGGTCAGTATTTAATGTTTTGTTCAAACTGATTAGTTTGTTGACTGGTTAAATCTGCTGTTCACTTGTTTAACTCATCGAGTTCCAAAGGTGCTTGACGATTTGAAGGGGTTTTAAGTATCTTTATTTGTCTCGTGTCTGAAACAAAAAGTTTGATTTTTTTGGGTACCATTTGACATCCTTTACAGGATTACTTGCATGTTCTTCTCTAGTCAATTGGTGGTTTTACTTCTTATTTGTAATGTTAAAATTTAATCATATTTATAAATGCTTGATTCAGGACACTGGCCATATATAGACTGTTTAAAATAGCTCTGAGCATGTCACAAATTTGTAAGAATTAAATTCAACTCAAGACTCCCATTTTCATACGCATTGCCACGAGAAACTGAAATCTCAACTCAATAATATTACGATTTAAAAATAAAAAATTGTCATTCTTTTGTATATACTAACTTGGCATTTTGTTTACAAAAATCATCACTGTAGGAAAAATGGACTAAGTACTTAAGTACAGTAAGGATGATAACATTTTGAGCACTGTGAAATATCTGTTTGAAGCACAGAGAGGAAACAATATAAGTAGAAGCATCAAATTTCAGAAAGAGGACTGGAACTTAGTATGGAGGCATTTCTGGACCCATGTTTATAGGAACTCTCCATTGTTTTGGCATAAACCTTCCTCTTACATATGCGCCATATCTCTGTTACACCCATATATTTTGCCTTGTATGATTGTGTACTTACCACATGTAATATGGTGCTTAATTTTCAAAAAAAACATTATAGTTTACAGAATAATAAGAAATTTTCAAGTATTTTGAGTGCAAATTAGGCATTAACTAACTCATGGAGCAGACATTGACAATACTGAAATTATTACGTGTTTCAGTTGTGGAAGTTTAGTAAACTTCATAAAGTTGTATCTTGTTGAAGTAGGGAAAACAGTATTCTTTGCATTCAAATACAATATTTAGAACATTTAAAAGTAATATAATGTGTACAATTATTGTGTTTGACTTCTCCATTGTCAAACTGTTCCTCAATTTAAACCGTAACATTTCGGAAGCGCGTATCGCGTGTCTGATACAAAGCGTTTTAAATGTTTGTCTGTTGCGTAGTTGAAATTAATCCATTCCCACTTGGCATTCAATAACTCTGCACATCGCTGTGTGGTGTGTCATGTACAGGTGATCTGATTTTTTCCCCTATTAAGTCCTTATGGTATCTGTAAGAATTGTACTCTTCGGTGTACAGTAAAGCTGAGGTAAGCATAATACTATATATCAATGTTTAAACCTGTGTGCAAGTTTAAATGAAACAGGCATTTTTTAATAAAAAAAAAGAGCATAAACATGTTCATTTGATATTTAATTTTCTCTTGAATTCTGTAGTGCAAATAGTGGCCATTGTCAAGGATACAAGCATTTAGAGGTGTATTATTTTTATTGTACTTTTTCTTTCATCAGGCACACAAGTCCCTTATGATGGGAAGTACTTTATGTTATGTTTATTGTACATACATTTACTTATTATTTACAGGTACTGAGGCTTAAACTGTAGCTTTAATTGATTTAAAATGTATTCATATCTTAATTTATAAAACTAATTAATTAACAAATTTAATTAGTTGATATATTTCAGAACGAATCTAAACATATGATGTTCAGATCCACTTCGTGAACTTGTAAAATTCACACTAATGACAGTAATTCAGTATTCATATAAATATTCTTTAACTGGTATTATTTGTGGAATTCCCCCAATTGTAATTGTTATATTAGTCTTTCTTACACTAGGCAAGTATTCCAGCTATTTAGTTGTATGTTAAGTTAGGTACTTACATTGTATTTTTGTCATTCAATTTGAATAGTGGTTAGCTGGGTTACCAATAATTTATAAAAATGTACCTGTTAATTTACATAGAGCTGTATTAGGTTAAATAATGTTCAAATAATGTATGTTGATATGATACTGCAGGAATTATTTAAAAATTAATTTACATCTTAATGTTATGTGTCATAATGAGGTTATTTGGTATGGAATTATTACTCCTTGAAGATTTGAGAATGTGTCTGTGTGTGTGTAAACAGCAAACATACATTATAAGGACATATTATTTAACTTTTTCCTGCCATGAATGATAGAATTGTTACCATCAGTATTATGCAAGTAAGAAACATATATATACACACACATGTATTGTTCTTAAATTTACAAAATTGCTATTTTGTTACCCTTCAATACATTGTCAATGATACGCAGAATGAGGTATATTTTTTCAATGTTTCTTCAGATGATAAGTTTCTTTTGAAACAGAATGTTATTTCATATATGTAATTTGCTCACAGCCCACAACCATGTTATGGGTATGTGCCTCTCGAGACGGTGATTAGTGCGATACGAATGTTGAAGCTAACATTGTGGCCTGAAGGAACTGAACAAACTTAATTATGATCTCTGTATAGAAGTATACTTATAAAGAGTGTGCTTGTTCATTTCATGTTAAATGGAAATATAGATGATTGAACAAGGGACAAGTAGCATTATTTTCTGTAACAGCAACCGTCAGTTTGTTGTCCATCTTATTATAAGGATTTTCTGGCCTAATCAGTAGTGCTTTCACAGATAAATTTGAATACAACTGTCACTTTCTGGCTTCCGGCAGGAACTGCTATAATGTAGGTTTTTTCCTTCTTCATGGAGTGGTATTCTTATCAGGAGTAAGGAAATGACAGTTGCATTCAACTTTATCAGTGAATGCATTGTAGTTCTTTCCTTGGAACCAAAGCTGACAGTGTAAAATGGCCATTTGCATTCATCTAGTGAATGTAAGATGAGGTTAAGAATGTATGGCTTTACCTCCACACCCTTCTCAGTATAGCAACTTTATATATACACTAGGAGAACAGCCAGTTCAAGTCAAAAGGATACTGAAAACAATACAGGTCTCATAAGGAACATGTAATTTGACCACATATTGACAGAAAATGCAGTGTTATTGGTAAATACACTTTATTGATTGTAAACTTGCATAATACAAGATGCTTCATATATTTTCTTCATCCAACCAAACGAGCTGATTCGAAAAGAGAGACGTGTATCTTGTAGTAACAGCAAAAACTTCCTGCAGCTGGCTTCAAGATAAACGTTTTGTTTCAAATGGAGGCCGGACTATTTTTACAAATAAAATTCGGCATGTACATGGCACCTCTTATTCTGTTTAAACTTAACGATGATAGAACATAACTATTTTACATCTAAGTATCTTAGAGTACTCTATTTACAGTGTTGTAAAATGGAATTAATATGGAAATGCCTTAATTTTACAATTTGTCTCATAAAAGTAAAATTGCATTTTAGTGTTATTAAAAAATGAGGTTCTAATTGCAAAATTCTACTGTTCTAGTTTTTACTAAGACTAATTGTTACAAAAATAATGGCAAAATAACTTGCAGAAAAAATAAAAGGCACAGCTAGCACATGCATCCTCAACTGTTTACTAATTGTTCATCTTAGCTGTACTGGTAATCTTAACAGCAGACACTTATTCTGATTTGCGGAGATCTATAAACTCATAAAGTTCCAACAGAATTAGAGTGGCCATTATTATGCACTCCTCTCAAAAGAGAAACTGAAATACAATTTTGTAGATGAATCACTGATGTGTATCTTTTGTATTTCTGAATTTATGCTCTTGCCACCACCACCACAAGAATAACAAGATATAGATACATTATATCCAGCGAATATACTATGTACATATTTTTCAGTTACTTTATTTTCATTATTATCACTATCAAAGGACACTTAAATTTTAAAGGCTAATGATATAGTACAGATAATTTGTTATTGCATTATGCTGCTGCTAAACTGATTATTTATCCTAGGATATACCAACTACACCTGAATGTGGGTGTCTGTCCATCTGCCAGAATCATATGATATTAAATATTTAGCTCTGCTAGGAACAAACGAGGCATCTTATTAGGCTTGTGTCCTAGAATCATATTACTACCTGTTTCCTTTTATCCACCCTGTATCTTGAGATGACTGTTTCTTGTATAGTTTCATTACTTTCTTTCCTGGAATAAGTCCTGGAGTAAGACCAGGTCTCTTTTTTCTTGTAATTTGTTTTGAATTATTCTCATTGTCTCCCTCAGTTTCTTCATCCACAGTTGGTACTATCTGATTATGTAAAGGCACTTGTTCATTCTGGTTACCACTGTCCTGTAATTCTGCCCCTGACTGATGTAAGTCTGAATCATGCGCAAACTTACAATTATGTCCGAACCTACAGCGACCTTTCCGAAAGTTCCAACATATTTTTTTTCCATTTATCATTTTAATTTCATCTCTGGTTGGAGTCATTTTAACATGCTTCTCAAGGATGGCTTTCTTAGCATTCTCTGCCTCTACAAATGGATTTGAGAACACAGAGCTCTTGAGTGACACGGCACCCAGTGTCCCAAACTCGGGACGAGGTAACTTTTCAGATGTACGCCCATTTAGTTGCCCATTATCGTCTGACCTGAAATAGTACACGCATCCATATATTATTCTGATATTGGTCATGGCACGGCAAATGGTTAGAATTAACATTCTTGGAACTGATCACGGTATAGATTACATACAGTTATGGACATGAAAACATCATAAACAGAGGTCACTGTTAAAGTATACAGTTAAGTATAAAGTTATTTATGGGCATATATCGTTGCAAGAATCCAACAGAAGAGCTGTTTTGTAAGAAAGCAAACTAGAAATATGTCACTCTTATTGTGGCAAAAACTCAACATTTCATATTATGGATATTAGCATCTAAATAAAATAAAAAGTACAAATTCATTAGAAGAGTAACGAGTAATGGTATACACTAAGGATACTGACAAACACAACTCATTTAGTCATGCAAAAATGAGGAAATGGAATGAACCCAGAAAAAACATGGTTGAAAGACAATACTAAACAGTTAAAATAAATTTATTTTAAACAGTGCATATGTAAGTTAGGATCTGAGGTTCTTACAGTGGTTTCGAGATAGCCCTCTTCTGAATTGTACCATGAAGTCAGGTAGTGCTCTGATGATGGAGTCAGCAAGGACCTCTGAAATGTTGGTAAACTACCAGACTACATGGCGCTACAACCCAGAAGACAACCATCTTAGTGTATATATAATTTGATCAACATTCTGATATTTTAAATCAGTCATATTCATCCATGCAGGAATTCATTGCATTCATTAAACTGAATCTGGATCCTAATTCTGTTTTCTGTTGAAGTAATTTGCCATGTACTGCAAGATCTAGCAATACATGGCGACTGGATATTTGCGTATTGGCTGATCTGCCATCAGTGGAGGTTATTTGGTTATTTCAGGCTGATTGTGAATGACAAACTAAAGGGGGAGCAAATGCCCATTTTATGGCATTATCCTAGCATTAATTTATGTTGATCCAGAGAAACCATTCAAAGTGCACATCAGACAATGGACAAGGTCCAAAAACCTAAGCATACAGATAATACTTGACACATTAACTGCAGCAGTGTATCAAGACTCTGGCAAAAATGGAATAAAAGAGAGTCATAAAATCAAGGACATGAAAATAATAAAGAAGCAACTTGAATGTAAACACGTACTTTCTTAACATGGTATTTTGCTTCATAAATGTTAGTAAAATATTTTTACATATATGAAAACTAATTTTTCTTCTTATATTAAGTCATCTCATTTCGTTAAACAGGTATAAATCACAAGTGAAAAATTACATATCGCATTGTATGAAATTGGCAATATTGCCACTGACGTACCAGGATCTATATTGGATGCCTCTGGAGTCTTGGGAATTATAAATACAGCAAATCACTTAGACATGCACTACATACAGTAACAAGTGGCGAGGTGTTTATATTCAGTGGAATCTTAACCCCCCCCCCCAATATATATATATATAGTGTTGCATTTGAACACTTGAAAAATCATTGTATTTATGGACATGGAATGTCACCTTTTATAAAAAGCAGTACTTTAGCCTCTGTCGTCATCACTGCCAGTAACAACCTAGTTCTGAGTAAAAACGGAACATGGTTTTAATATTTAACCGCATTCATGTAAAAGAGGTTTGTGTAGAAATGTGTGTAATTTATGGCAGATTTTGGTGAAAAAATAAAAGGTCCAAAATGTTTGGAGTGACTTGGTACACTTATACATGTAAAAACATACTGATACAAACTAACCATATAACTTTCTTCTATGAAGTTTAGTTCATGACTGATGTCAGACTTGAAAATGATGGGAACATAAGGTGATAATTTTCTATTTAAAGTCCAAACTTGAATAATCCAGGCATCTGAAAATAATAGGACACCTATGGGGGGGATGTAAAATTAGTAACTGACCTAATGTCCAGGAACCACTGGAAGTTGATAGGATATGTTTCTGGGAGACTGAAATATTTTACAAGTCCAGGGTATACAATGTGATGACTTAGCTCAGAGAAGTATTAAAAATACTCCATTACATAAGATACATTGACAAATAAGCATTTCTCTGGTTATTTTTAAATCTTTACTATACATCCCTATAGTAATAACAAAAATATAGTATGGGAACAAAGTTCCTCAATGTTCATAAACATAGCAAAGTAAGTGTGAGGTATGCCACGATATGCTCAATTTGACAAAATATAGATAACCCACACACTTAGACTTATAGGAAAATGTAACTTCCAGTATGGGGAATTCCTGACCACGTTACATTTTGGACGTTAGGTTAAATTTCTAATACCAAACCAGATAAAATATGCAAACATCGTTCTGTAGGTTGAGAAACTGTATTAACATCTCGGCTGGTGTGTCTACTAAATTAATTTGGATATATCTGACAGACACGGCAGCATGTAAGTGTATTACATTACATGTTTATGTCACGAAGACTGCCTCATTACAGTTTAATAAGATAAATTTGAAAGACGCCAACGACACAAAGACATGTAAAAATGGCCCAGTAGCGAATCCTCTTATAAATAATCTGCAGCAATGTCAATGTGTTTTATTTCAGAGCTATGACTTACACTTCAGGCACACTATCAGAATCAACATCATTGTCACTTTCGCCAGAAGAGCTATAATCAGCAACAAGAGATGCCATATTGGTATGAACTTGGAAACAAGTGAGGAAGGAAAAATTATTGTTAATTTACCATGGTGTCCAACAGTTAGGTAAGGAAATTTACCTTTCAAAAAATGCAAATAAATTTGTGTAAAGATAGTGTGTGTGGGTTATCCGTGCTATATAAGAATTAAAGTGTTATCAAATGTCTTTCTTCAAAACGGTTGTTTTCGCTAGTGTCGTATGGAAATGTGCCGGATAAATAATTAACATAATATGTTTAATGTTGGAACAATTATCTGATTAAACAGTTGAGAAAGAACAAACAGTGGCGTCTATTAATGCGAAATATTATTATTTGGAAATGTTAATTGTTACATGAAAAGCTGCGTGTTCTTGCGTACCAATAGCATCGTAAGCTATCATTTGGACAGTATCATTACCAGTTTATTCAACTTCATATTCTTACAGACTGTTTCTCATGTCAATTTTAATATGTTCTGTCCTGTCCTGGTCTGCTATTGGGATTTCCCATGCTTTACAAACCTTTGCATTTCAGACACCAAAACATTTTTAATGAGCAGTAAAAATTATGGAGTGTGTCATGCATTTACTATTCTTACTATTTAAGTCTTTATATTTTCATTAAACGTTCACAAGCACCCTTAATGTTTGATCTTTTTTAGAATGAGATAGCCACTTGGGGTTGGTGGTGTGATTTTGCTGTTTTCTAAGTGTGAAGCCCCAACCAGAGGTAATAATAATGAGGTAAGGATAGCTTTTGAGAAATGATACTGTATATTTGATCAATGTTGTACATATCACAGAAAGTTTCTTTTAGGATATTTCAGTGCTTAAATCATACTAATTTTATAATGACATAGTTTTGTTGGTTATCCATGGTTTTCCAGTTGTATCCACATTTGTCAATCATGGTACTTGGTTGTGTCTGCAGTTTTTTAATTGTATACACACTTTAAAAAAAATTGCTGACTTCCACATTAGATCACATTTGCTAGGTGAAGGGCCATAATGACAGAAACAAGTTTTCTAGTACCATTGCTGTGCATCGTTTTATGTAATTTTTTTATATTTTGTGTAATTTATTTTAACCATGTTGGTTTAGAGTTACAATACCATGTGGATTTGTACATAGATACAGGTGTTTCACAGGAACGTACGGTCTCCATCTTGCAGGTTAAAGTGATCTCATACACTTGTATATTTTTTGTGCATAGTGAAAGAAGAGGAAACTTACTTAGGCTTTGATGACTGTTACAGCAGGAACAATAAACAAATAATAATGTATTTTTTTATTTATTAATGTCTTATACAAATAGTTGTTCAGCTGAAAAGCATTAGCACAGTTTTTATCATATGGGTGTATGCTTGTTACAGTTATGAACCTGTGGAGTTTGTAATGCCATGGAGACAGTTATCAGTGGATTGTCCCATTGTACCAACTTTCTGAAATTTGTAGGTATAATATAAAATGAGTCTGTGAAAAAACTTAATTGGCTATGTTTCACAACTCTTATGATGGAAAGAGGAAAGTTTATTATGCATGTTTACAAACCCCTTTCTTTGAAACTATTAATAATAAATCACTACTTAATATTATACACTTTGCTCTGTAGATATAAAAATGAACGATTTTACACAAACATATGTGCCATGCTTATACAGAAAACTCATTCAAAAAAAATATACAGTAAAGAAACAAGTTTAATTTTTCATTTATACATTAAAAAGAAAACATTAGCACAATAAAATATTGTATCTTACAGTAGTCACCACGGTGAAGGTACAAAGACACTAATTATGAAGAGACTACCACCACATCAAAGCTCAAAATATATAGCCCATTTCCAAAACAATCAAACCAAGCTCCATACAGTTTAATTCTATAGTACATAAACTCCTGATGGATAATACTGATATGGGGTATCATCAAATCCAAGCAGGACTTTTCATGTTACAGTGTGCAGTATTTCTGCTTATAATATACATCACTATTCACTTCCTAATGCTGATATTACCCCTTTTTGATTAATTAACACCTTGCAACGCTTCTTTGTGCTTAGAGATGTACTTTTCATTACAGCTATTTGTCTTCTTTCAGTTGAGTTAATTTTATGAATAAACAGTCGTGTACATGGTATATCTAGCCAGTATTTCCCAAGAGCTGGTTTCATTGTATCACATATAACCAAATTCCCATCCTGAGGTATACATTCATTGCTTCCATCACCAGCAACATTTTCTTCCTCTAACAACTGCATAGCTAGGTTTACGACTAGAAATGTAACATGGTATTCTGTTACAATATACTTCATTGTGTTAGCCATCTGATTCATAAGTGTCAGGCCTGAAAGCAGATGTATCATAACATATAAAACAGTGTAGGAAGGAAGCTCATAAGTAGACATTCTCTTGCAGTGGAAAAAAAGTGAAATCTTACCATCATTAAGGTTCTTTCCAAGAAAAGGGAAGAATAACGCAGGAAGGGAGTCTAATATGATAATGCGCACACTGTGATGCCCATCTTGATCATGGTGAAGGCTGGTCTTCAAGTGTTGCAAGAAAGAAAAGAGTTCATATACGTCTTTTATTCTGGTTACTCGAATTCTTTCCATAACAGCACCAATTACCTACATATAAAAAAATGTACTATTGCATTCATTAAATATTTCCATGGAGCAGGTCCCTGAGAAGCCGATAGTCAGTCAAAAAGTTTTGTGCCACTTACAGAACCTGGACCCTATCCTGAACCAGTTTAATCTAATAATTCAGTTCACACAACAGCACTGTGTTCCTTTAAGATCAGTTTTAATATTATCCTCCCATCAACATGTGGTCTGTTCTATTTGGGTTTTTGGATACAACTTTTGAGAAAATATGTCACCATCCCTGTACATGTCCTATCACATGTTTGTGGATAGGAGATGAGCAGTTCAAATATTCTGAACTAAATGCTATTAAGCATTTCTTACATTTCATATGCTTGTAATGTCTTCATGAATGTGATTTTTATGTCACTCTAAATCCCAGATATTTAATTTATGCCATTGTTTGAAGTTCTGTTAGCTATTTTACATTTCTTAATACACATTGTATTCTCTAAACAAATTCACAAGTGTTGCAAACATTAATGTGAATAATGAAGAATATAAAAAGTTTTTCATTACTAAGTGAAGGAATACACTCAAAACTACATAAATAATTAAAATGTTTATATTGTACCTCATCATGATATCCCTTTGATTCTAAAACTTCTTGAACTCGCTTTCCTGAAAAATCTGTTTTTGTATCAATATAATGTACTTCTTGCTTAAAGTCATGGGCAATATGTGCTGAAACAGTAAGACAAAGCTGAGTCTTTCCGCTTCCGGATGAACCACAAACTTCATAGATTTTGCCTGTCAAAAAGCCTCCTCCTATCATAGCATCCAGACTGAAAAGACAGCATAAAGGAATAATAAGCAGTTTTCTTTCCAATGAGCTTTTGAAGGAAATGGTTTCATAACCTACACAGAATTTTTTTTAATGAATTAAAACAGAGTGGTACAAACCTTTCTATTCCACTTGGAATAAGAGCAGTATTTGATAAGATTTCATTATATGCATCTATCCCTTTAACAGGAAACGCAGAATAATTTGCTATTATGTTTTGGCGTATTTGTAAAATCTCCTAAAAGAAAAGTACACAAAATAAATTAATGCTCCCAGACAACAAAACAGATTGAGTTCATAGAGTTGGCCAACAATCGTGACATTGCTCCCAAATTATGTTAATCTACTGAAGTCATATTCCTG